AATTAATAGTAAATATTTAGAGAGCCGATGGTATTAATTGTCGCGTGATTTGTTCTGAAGCATTCCACATATCAAATAGCGATCACAGGGGAGCTAGTTTGTCTATTACGCAACGATGCATTAATGAAAATTCCGCTGCCATCTCCGACGATCTTCGGATACTTCTTACTACGGTTTTAAATTTGGACTTCTAATCGATGGATTCTTGATCCTACTTCGGCAGAACCTCAATAGAAATAAAATATACATGAGCTTCCTTTCAAATCCAGACTCCGAGGAATTCTATTCCACTACTCTTTTCACAATTCCTCTGCTTGAAGAAAAGTGCATTTGGGGATAGTACATCTGAATGTGGATCAGTGAAAATGCCAATTTTACTTCGAGATTTGATTTAAATAAAATTCATTCGCAAATTTGTGTGATATATGTACAGCTTAACAAGCATTTCTGTCAGAATGTCTGCCAATTTCAAGCGTAAGTTTTACGTTATTACGAATGTTTCATAAAAATATAAAATACGAAATCGGATGATGACACGAAAATTGGTTCTCGTCGAGGTGATAACTAGAATCGTTCACTTCTCGCAACTGGGCGAAGCAAAAAGTTGTAAATCATGTTTGCAGAATTTACAATGTCGCGCCAGTTCACTGTTTAATTTAGTCCTGACGTACCGGAGGGAGGTTGCAAGTTTTAATTAAGACGAAGAACTCCCTCTCTACGTAGCGGCCAAGTGCGAATAATGCAATGAACGTAACTCGCGTTATTAGCCCAAAACTGCATTATAAATAATTTTGTCGTGATAATTCTCTAGTCTTCTACGGCAGCGTATTTTAAATTGCCAAATGATTATCCGTTCACAACTGTGTAACTATGTTACGAATGATTAAAGTAGTTCCATTAAACTACAAGGGTCTGCAGATCGTAATCAAATTGTAATATGTTATTCTTCGCATTGTAATGAATATATCTTGTTACTTATTAGCACATAGATTAAATTATTGAAAGAAAGGGACGATTGATTTACGACCTAAAATACCCAGCCTAAGAATTGGTCATTTGGTCAAGGATCGTGAAATAAAAATTCCAAGATTTATTTCAATTTATTTATTAATAAGAATTTATTCATTTTTAGAATACATTAGTGCAGTTTGGTGAAGTTTAGGATTGCTTTCGATAATCTTTTGATAATATTGTACATAAGTGATATGCAGGAACTAATAATGCTGGATACAAATGAATCTTCGTACACGTTTCTCAACTGTCACGTTGAAATACTGCTCGTCAGGCGTCGCGGAGGGAAATAGTTTTTCTTCATTGCTGGGAATAAACATACGCATTGAGTGAACGGTCACAAAACCTGGTGTCACCGCGATAGAAGCGTGACACAAAAAACGGGAAAGGTATCTATTTTTTTTTCTGGCGCGTTCGTTCTAATTCTCCGAGACACGTGTGACGCGTTGTATCCAACGAGTTTGTTATAGTTCTTTCCCGTTTCACGGTGCAGTAATACCAGTTTGTTACACGAAATGCGATATGCACGCACAGGGTGGCTGTTTCCCCGAGTAAAAAATATGAAACACTTCCCCACGCGCGAACGGAGGAATACAATAACGACATCGGGCTCCCCGCAGTTTTACGGCGAGCAGTAAAAATTTGTAACGCGCGTCACCAACTTTGCCAACTTCCAACGAATAAACAATCATATCCGGGAATGATTTTCAGAGTTTATTTGGTTCCTGACAATCCTTTTCGAAATTCCCACGGATCAAATTTTTAATTGACACAAAAATCGGTTGCATTTACTAATTATTATCATAGTAAATGTGATGCAGCTTCAAAGTTTAAAAACTCCTCGGGGAAGGGAGATGCATAACCGTGATCCATATTGGTAAAATGTGAAGCTAGAGTTTTTGAGGAAAGCGGAAAATGGTCTGAAAATGTGGGCTGACCGACGACGGCTGTCAAACAATGGGGCCATCGCCTCAATTCCTGAAATTGGCAAACCGCCTGGTTATAATGCATCGCCCCTGTCCCATTGTTCCCAGTTCATTTTCAATAAACAAAAATGTAGAGACTTCTTTGTCATACAAAACACGCTGCGGTCGATTGATGTGAGAGAATGAACTTTAACATAATGCAAAATTTTCACTAATAAATTGATAATTATAAGAGGAAAGGGGAAGTTGAATTGTATTAAAGAATAATTTAATTGTATTAAAGAATAGTCGCATTAAGAGCTGGGATCTCCGTAAGTATGGGTCAGGACTTGTCTTCAAACTGACTTTCTTTATAAATGGTCGGGAACTGAAGGAGCACTTAGTCATAATACACGTCGAATCGAGCCGAGGGATGATTTAGTCGCGGAATTTCCGTCTAAATGACTTGAACTTCTTGATTAATCCCGGGATATCGGTTCGAACTTCGGGCAAAGTTTGCGTTCGCAATTTTTTGCAAGCAGATAATATCGCATAATATTTATAACGCGTCGTTGTATCTGAACGTCAATTTAACGGAAACCGTGTAACCTAAAAACAGGCTCCACACCGATGCGGTGCAGGGGAGCGATATTTTATCGATAATGATGACAAGCGTGCATACAGTGACAAAGCGCATTCATGTGTTCGATACTGTTATACACCCCGTAAAACGTTCCTGTCATAGCTTTTCGATAAATATTGCGTTTCATTAAAATTACAGTTTGAAATACAAAAAAGTCATCGAAACGGAACGAAAATAATGAATGCAATTTTTCGTTTGATATGAGACATTTAATTAAATGTATTTTTCCACGTTTCCTTTTATTCAACTCTTAATTAATACAAAACGCTGTTGAAGCGACAGTTCAGTCTTAATTTTCCCTCGCTGAAAGAACCTAATCGCAAGCAAATAATTTCCAGCAGCGGGAACATCGTACCTTTATTAAACTAGGAAGACCGTTTCCTGGGAAGACGCGGCGACTCGTCCGTCGTTGGATGTGCTCCAACTTTTAATCCGTCGGCTACTAAATAATGTTCGAGCCCGTTATTGAAACGAGAAAAGCGTAAGTGGAAACCGTAAATTCGACGTTGCTCTCCAGGGCTCGCCGACACGCCGATCACTTCCACCGGTCCTTATAGTTTCATAATAACGTCGTTCGCGAGGGAAATCTTAATTTCATTTGTCCAAGAACGCCTGTCGAAAGCACTCTGTCGCTGCCAGACTTCAGGCTTCGATGCGAGTTTGTTACCTCTCGTAGCGGTTTTGATTAATTTCTGTACCCAACGTTAGAAAATCCATCGCGAAAAACCTATCAAATTCATAATTAATCTTCATGTAAAACGCATAAATCTTCATGCTGTTTCCGTTAACCGAAGCGGCGTTCTTGTTTCGCAGTCGACGTTTAAACGAATTTAATTCGAGAATTAATTATGGAAATTTCGATTGAACTTCACAATAATTTATACTAAAGGATTTCAGAGGATTGTACGTGGCAGATGTTTTGACATTCTTTAGCGTACCTCATTAATCGTTTAATGAAATGGACCAGTGAGAGAACCGAGTTATTAGATATTAATTAATTGGGAATCATTTCATTGAGGCGCGGAGTTTCCATAGAACACCACAAAGCATTAATTAAATACCATCTCGCCGTTTCGCGCTCCGTCGCTCGGCAATATCAAACGACGACGCGGTGAAGCGATTTCCTGTTTAATTGCTGACACGGTATTGTGTTCATTGCATAATTAAATAATGGTACGACGTGCGGGATCTCAATTAAGTTGAATATCCGGGTCCCATCGATTCTTATCTCTCGCGGTACCGTCGACTCGTGAATTATGACGTACCAACCAGTTGAAATACTCATCGTGTCGTAATCGTTCCGAAACTGTGTACATAATTCATCAATAAGATAAATGGAATCGCCTTGAAGCTCTCGAATCCAATAAAGGAGAAATTGTTTTTAAATTAAACAAAACGTATGAAAATGTAGTAAATGTTCGAGGAAGAACAATACTTGAATTCTTCCTTTATTACATTAAAAGACATTGAAGGATAATAGGATTAAAAATTACGTATTAAATAAAATATCTCTCGTTTAAAGCTATATTTATCTAGAGGTACAACTTTTTCAGATTATTCTGTGTTAAAATTTTTTATTCCAATTATTTTCAGACAGCTAATTAGGTTAATGAATTATATCTGAAATTCGTGAATACGATTTTATTAGAACAGAGCTGAAAGGCATGAGACTGTATCAAGGATCATTTAATAATATACTTAACAAACTGGCGTTCGTACTTGATGTCTGTCGTATTTTAGCCACGGCCAACGCAGTGAAATCGGTTTATCATAATTTATTTGCGTCGTCTGAATTTTGCTATATCCATTCCTCATTCAAGGGTTTCAGTCTCTGAGCGAAGTTACTAAAACCTCGAAGGCTATGCTTAATGATCAGTACGAGCTCTCGCTTTCCACTAATTGCAAAAGTTTCATACGTACCTAACGTTTCACAGTTCGACTATTCACGGCGAGTATTCGGAGCATTCGTTGGAAAAAGTAGGAAACCTGTAATCGAAAATTGAATCCATTATCAATTTCGCTCCTCCTGATGTTAATCGAGTTCCACTGAAATCCACCTGATCCTTGCTTCACTTTCCATCGTTTCTGCTGTTCATTCGACGATGTTCTCGACTGTCATCGGTAGTCGCTGCCTCCGATTCCGAATTGCGCTTAAATATTGAACAGCTTGTGTAATTTCCTCGAGTAGAAGACCCTCGTTACACGGTATTACACAACAGCCGCTTTATCTTTTCAATCGCAATAAATCCTTTCGTCTTTCCGTGTCATTACAATAATTTGTGAAATTACTGATGATAAGACTCCAATTATTATTTTCTGCGTCGCGCGGCATTCACAAAACGGTGAATAAATATCAGCCAACGTTAAATTATTACATTCCTTATTCAGCCCGAAATCGATTCATCTTTTCATCCAATGTCGCGTTTATTGTTACAAAAAACAATGTGCGGCTTTCTCTCATTGAAACTATACACTATTACACTAGCATTATGTGGAACATAAGTGATCGTCTAATAAGGAGAAGCTATTGTTCCACTTAGCCAAGTAATTTTAATGAATTCCTTAAATCACGAGCTTAAGAAATCGTAAAACGCGAGGACAAACTTCTTGAACCCAGACGTTCCATTGTTACGATAAAAGTTATGCATCGTTTCGGAGCTCTAACTTAGCTTGATAAACTGGCTGCAACGTCTTGGACATTAATTGCTCGATGCAGGTGTCACGAGACAGTTTATGTCGCTCCTTAATTAGCATTTTTTATTTGATCCCAATATTTATTGCCCACGTTTCAGACCGATCACTCTACGACACGTGTTCCACGTGTTCTTAACATGAAACGTAATTCCTTAACGGATATAACAAATGCTTAGTTAGTAGCAATCTATAGTTTGGAAGTCGGCGGTCCGCTCATTAGTCTATCTGCAAGTCGTTGAGACGTGAGCAAATTCCGTTCTCAAAATTCATGCACCAGTTTAATTCGAATACTCGTGCGAGCATAAACAATGCTGGTATTGGAATTCGCTCGGCGATGATACAGCTTCGTCGAAGGATATTCCGCGTGGCACGGTCGTAACGATCCATCCGGTTCGCCGCGAAATTGAATTTCATTTTTGCACGGCGAAACTCCGGATCGCACCGGTTTTATGATAAATGTGTAACGCCTCCGCGGAATCGATGCGACGACGAAACTTTGCACGGGCCGCATACGAAACAGCGTATCTGTCTTTATTATGGTCGCGAGTAGAAGTTTTTCGTCGGCATGTAGATCGCGAGGCGGGATCGAATCTATGTTCTGATTCCATTGTTAACGAAGCTCGCCGTCGACGAAGAATCGCGTACAGATAGGATCGTTAAATTGATTGCATCGATGCTTTCCAACTCTTCGAAACCAGAAAAATGTATTAAAATCGAACCGCGGTTAAAACCGAAGCTAAGGGAATGAATTAAAAGTATGGTAATACTGATTTCCATAGACCTGCCTCGAACAATGCTACGACCTATTAGAATGCAAATTAATTCAATTTTACCCTCTTTTTTCATAAAGTACAAGCCTTTTTGGAGAAGTATGAATTGTAAAGACCACTGAAATTTACCATCCCTGAATGTATTTGATGCTTTAGGCAATCTGGTAAACAAGGAATTGAGGATCAAGGAAAGAAAAATAGCAACGAGCTTGCTAATATCAAGGGGGACGAACTTGAACGAAAAAGTACACTTTACAAGAGTGATAAATCGTCGATCCTATCAGAGTTCGGTACTCGTTACCGCTACCCGAAGGCGCGAATATCTATGGGCCTGACGTGGATATTAAAAACTTCTTTAACTCGTACAACAATGCCTCGCGACGCTAAAGTTAGTCCTGAACGTGATAAATTCACAAACGAGACGACAAATGTTTCCCTACTTGAAGGTATCAAATAATTCTATGGAATATGATGACTCTTCATGTTCAGATTCTTAGAACTATGTTTGCTAGGTAATCGATAGGTATTATTCATTGTGTGAATAATCGTTTTTCCAAATCAGTTGAAAATTTCGTCGAAAGATTTAATGAAACTGTATTATTGACTAATGGAGAATCTTGTTCGTAGAAAAGCTGATCGATAATCTTATTAGTATCAGAATACAAAGTTGAGAGAGAAAACGCAAATAAGCGTGGCACGTGCAATTTCATGAAACTGATTAACTTGTTCACGTAAGCGATAGTAATTCGACTTACGTAAGGCTCAGAATTTTACAATATCGAAGACATGGTTTATACGAATTTTCTATCATGCAACCGATTAAATCTGATAATGGCTCCGATTAGGATCTGTTTAAGCGCAATTACGTGATGTGGTAAAACGTAATACCAATTAATTAAACTGCAGTCAACCGTGCATCAATCGGTTTCCGAGCGAATTAAAATTCCTGTTGATCACATTTCACGTTTTCATGTCGCGCGATTTCGCAAGTACCTACTTACGCGGCGGAGAGTAAATCATCGAAGCGTGCCTCTGATTCCATGGAGGAGCGTCGCGCCGTTTACGTAATGCAGTTTCGTTATGGTACAACTAAGTAATGAACGTGGGATTAAATTCCTCGGCGGAAGCTTTGTTAAGCGTTTTGTTGATAACAGCTGGATCCTCGATTCCGCCTGGCTTCCCTAAAGTTTCGTTAAGATCAATTTACTTCGCGAACTGCGAATAAAATCTTTATTATTTTCATTGTTGGATTCTTGCTGGAGATTTATAGATTTCTTGGAGAATAGGTGTTGCGATATTAACATATAAAATTTAGCGATGCAAGTGACGTCTGAGATAAACGATGTCTCTCACAATAAATGTCATGTCATACTGTCAGTCATTTACGTAACATAAATTGATACTCGAATCGCAACATTCTTGATAATTAGAAGAAAACGCGAGAAACATAGACGCCATATATAATGTTTCATTGTCTCTGTGTGTCTGAACCTGCACAATTGTTTTCGTGCCAATTAGCCGAAACAAGTGCTGATAAATTATTCGTCTGCGACTTAAATTAATGTAATCTAGGTAGGAAACGATTCGGCTATCTGAAATACGTGAGCTGCTTCCAGGTATCGGGCGCGATAAAAAGACCTTTGAAGATGTCCTCAATAAATTTATCTAACGGCGTTACGAAAGTTGGAGCAGAATTTAAAGCGAGAAGAATTCCAGGAAACGAGTTTCGCTTCTAAGGTGCCGATAAAAAATAACGTGGAATCGACATGGTGACGCGGTGACTAAGAAAATGTCATCAGTGAAATACCTTCGCAGAAATACGTTTCTTTTGAAATTTTTGAGACACGCGACTAATCCATAAATAAACGAAAGGTGAAAGAGAAAGGTGTCCGTGCAAACCCTTTAGCATTTTATGTACATGTGACCCTCGTAATTCTATATAAAAGCCATTTGCGTGTTTGTTAAATGTATTGTCCTTTTCCTATCTCTACTTCATAAATATTGTAGATAGGACTAAAAATTAATCAAGAAATTAGCATTTCAGATACAGTTTAAATTACGTTTAATTACGTCTTATTACATGCTAATTTTTAGGAGATTGTGTATCAGTTTTGCGTTTCTTTGAAAGTGGCATTCGAAAAACAGTTCCACGTAAAGAACAGGTATCTGAAAACTGTTATTAAGTTTAATAATCCGATTACAGTAATTTACCGTGGAGGTCACGATTTTGAAGGTTCGAAGGAACAAATAGTTAGTTGTCGAGCAGTAAAAAAATAATACTCATTAAATTCCAGTTTTGTTTCATGCATCCCTTTAAATCAAAATAATGAGATCAAAGTCAGAAACAAGTTTTGATCTTTATAAACGTTTTTAAACGCGACGAATGAATATGCATAGTATAATATAGATAGAAACTGGTAGTCGATTACGAACTGTTCCGTCCGACTGGATTCGAACCTGTCCGTGAACGTTTTTCTCATTTGCTCGCGGCAGGTGGAACGTAAACGCAGTTTATCAAATTGTACATTTCTCACTCGCATGCACGGATTAATATGAATTTCTATAAGATAACGATGCAATAAATGAGTGAAACTAAAACGATTTTCTCATCGTTCTCATTCCGATCTGCCTCTCCTCGCCACGCCCGACGTGTAACTTGAATTATTCATGAAAATGGAAAAAATATTTCCATGAAATTAAATGCAATTCGTCGAAGAACGGAGGCTTGTAGAGAGAAAACGATCAGATTCTCATGAGAGAAATGATTTTTGTAATCTTTACTCAGTAATTGTTAAAGGTAACTTAAGAAATTTCCGAATCGACGATATAATGGAAGCTCGTACAAATTTCTCTAGAGCCCTCCACGAGAGATTCTCAAAAGAAGTCTAGAAGGGAGTTCGAAGTTAACAATAGCCTCGTATAATTTTCCCGTAACGATTTCGTATTAAGTGCAAGAAACTCTCAAAAGAAAATCTTCAAAGAAAAGTGAGGAAGCATCTAACCGAGTACGACAAAAGACGACTAATACTACTTATTGCATATCACATGGATATTTGTTCCGTTCTAATCCAGAAAGTGACCGCGGAGCTGGTCCCTTTGGTGGACTCGCGTGCGATCGCGAATCCCTGTCACGTGCGAGACCCAAACGAGCAGGGGCGATTACGAGATACAATCGTGCGTAGCCTTTCGCCCGGCTTTGTCACGTCGTCGTCGACTCGGGGAGATAAACGGTGGTCGCGAAGTCGAATCGACGGCCAATCGGGCCGGAGGAGTGTTCCGGTGTCCAGACCAATGAACATCGAGCCGTTATCAACCCGGCAAACCTAATATAACCGATCACCGCGGTCCTCCGTCCACTTACAGAGAGGGTGACTCGTAAACGAAAGAGTCGAACGGTTCGCACACGGTGTTCGTCTTCTTGTTCCGCTCGTAACTCTTCGCTTTCAAAGAAACACGCTAGCCAGCGAACTGTCAGCGGAAGGCCGAAGCGCGCGATCGTTGGAAGCGGTGTTCGCGCTCTAAGTTACCGCGCCACGCGTATCAGTCGCTCGGCTGATCGTCGAACGATTCGGCCGTGTTGTTGTTGCTGCTGCTGCTGCTGCTGCTGCTGCCGCCGCGGCTCGCAACCGTGAAAACCGCACGTGGCTCGAATACCGCGTTAACGACGTTCGCATCGAAATCCGTACGCGTGGTCCCCGGGTCGTGACCCCTTCCAGGGAAGATGGCAGCTGGACTTTTATCATGCTTTCTCGGCGTCGTTCTGATCGCCATGACCGATGCTGCAGTGATCGAACACACCGTCCGCAAGGTTACGGACTGCGATAGGTGAGTGAAAGGGAAACCGCCGCGCCGATCCAATCCCTTCCTTCCACGCCTAAGGAAACTCGAAAGAGGATGAACGTTCTCCATCCTCTGTTCGCGAACTCTTTTCTTCGCGCCGACTACGGTCTCGGATTGCATTCAAATAATGAAGACGATTGTTTCTTAATGAAGTTTCACGTGAAAACAAGTTTTATCTCGAGCTAAAACATCTTAGAGTTTTATGGAACAGATTCTAAATAGATTATATAAAGTGCTATGGTGTTTATATAAATGGAGGAAATTCTTTCTTCACTGTTGCTGAAATACTGGGTCAAAACAGATTATGTGAACTAAAGCATCTATAAGTTTGATAAAGCACGTCTTATCTTTCTTAGAACGTGTGAAACGAGATGACCTGTGCTCTGAACGATTGAACATATTTGATGGTCTCCTTTCAAAAGGACTTTCGTCCTTTTGATCTTGAGAGTTCAGATTAGTTGGGAATTCGGATGTTTGAGGAAACACATTCACCCTTTGGGGATGGAACAAGGAATTTATGGTTGTTGCTCCTTTGGCGAACATCTCAAAGGGTAGATTTCACTCTGTCGCTGCTCCTTTAGCCTTTCTAGAAATAGTTCTCTATCATAAACATTACATGCAGGAATTATATTATGTATCTCATTCAGGTGTAAAGTTCATATGCAACCTGTCGAGTTTGATTAATATCCATTAATGAACACCGCTATTTAGTCATGGGAAATCGTTATTTACTTGTATCAAGAGTCGTGAGCCCATTTCGCCAATTAATGTGTCAATTATTAGAACGCAGGAGAAAGTTAATATTGCGAAACGAATGGGGGTTCCCCTTTTCAATTCGTATCGATGTTCACGTTGGGTAAAGAGAAACGACAGCCGAGAGTCAATGCCTCGCGAGGATAATACTTTGACAGCGGATTTAATATTGTAATATGTTTACATCAGCTTACACTGTCGATTCTATTTTTACGAGTGGGAATTTCCTTTCACTTGACAAAATTATTTCGGCTATATGCCAGTGCTAACTGGGTCAAGGGACAGAGGATCAAAAAATAATTCTTTATTTATAAATCAGGCAAGAGAAACGTTTGCAGATTTTTTTTAAACGATGTCACGGTTATCTCTATATTTATTAGCATTTGTTTTATTTTTAATTGACTCAGTTCCCTTGGTAAAGCATTTTATTTCTTACTGAAAGTAATTATCAATGACATTAACGTCGGCGAGACGGAAATCTTCGGAACCTTAGATAAACTTTGCATGTTAACGTCGATTAGTGCCTAGCGAACGATAAGAGAAGAATTGCGGTTCGCACGTTCCACAGTTATGCAGGAAACTTTGGAATATGATTACTGTGAAAACAAGCCATTTCTAATTCGCGTATTTACGCAGTTCCTTTTTTATTTGACGCGCCACACTAGAAATTTTTCTCCGAGTAAGCAAATATCTCGAAGCAGATCTCAGCTCTTCTGGAATTAACAGCCTTTAAGAAATTCGAATATTTAGAATCTATCTTAATTACAAAGTTTTCCTCATTTACATAATTATCGCGTGGAACATGTTTCGTTGTTCGAACTTTTCTAAAAACGTGATTTGATATCAAATGAGTTTGAAAGTATTCTAGTATTTTAATGGAAGGTGATTTTCATAAAGAAACGATATTTCAATGAGAAATCCATAAAGGTGGCCGCAGCTGTTCGGCTAAATATAAACTCTTTGTTCAGCAATGTATAAATTCCTGGCTTCCGGAAGAGCAGTCACCGTTTCACAAAATTAATTGTGATCGATTAAAGAATCTGACGAAAGGATTTCAGTAGTGCTCCGCCGCCGCGCCGCGGAGATTATTTATTACAAGCTAGAGGCAAGGTTGGTATCTGTTACAGAGCCGCTTGTTAACGGTGCTCGTGCAGTTAGTTACTCCTTTTATGCAACCGTTTCACGCATCCATACTCACGCGTATTCTTGCGCACGTCGCCGAGTTTTTATGTCCGGCCATATAACGAAACGGGAAATGAAAACTCGAGCGAGGCGGAACTGTGTCGTTGCATTTGCAGTAACGATAATGATTGATAAGATTATTGTTGTCCCGCGGTCGCGCACTTTGTCCCCGGAGATTTGCCGAAAATAGATCTTTGAACCCCAATCGGGATTTGCTATGATCGTTGAAACGTGACGACGCTCTTACCTGTACTTTTTTTTATCTATACAATGATTGAGCAGTCATTTCTAAAGGCTGAGGCGGTTTCAGTAACTTAAGAATTGTTAAACACTTTTAAGCAGCAGTTTATCCTAACCGTGGTAATTTCAATTATTATGGATAATTTTTGCATGAGATATGCTTTGCACATTCTAAACACAATATTACTTTGAAGGCTTGAACAATTACCGTCAATGTTTTTCGTTATCGGAACATATACACTCCTGATAAGATCTATCGATGGTCACAAGACAGCCTCGAAGTTCTTTCAATAACCACACAAATGTACATTTTATGCTGAATAAGAAATTGGCTTGATAATTTATTAAAAACAGCAGATTTTCCTAGGCACGTGTATTCGATTACTGATGACATCCATTGACACTAGCTTTATCGACCGCTAACTGTTATCGGTGACCGCGACTTATCAGCGAAAAATTTCCTCGATTCACGGCAACGTGTAGTTATAAATATTGTTTAGCGCGTCGGGAGCATCCTTCTGCATACCTACTTCGTTCCTCTCTTTTAACTGAATAATCGAGGACGAGCGTAAGATTCACGACTAGCCGTGCGCCAAACGGAAGTCGTCACATGAGCGTGAGCGCGGTTTCTCTTTTTCAGGGCAAGAAATATTATCGGCCCCTGTCCGCCACGAATTTTCTTGCTGACCATTCGTTTCCGGGCGCGTCGATTGCACGAAACTGCGATTCTCCGCGAGGTTTCGGCGTAAACACACCGTCGGCGAGATAAGTGGACTTTATGGCAGCGTAAAAATTCTACACTCGAATGAACAATCGTTCCGATCACAAATCTACGATTTCTATCGATTATCACTTTTATTCATCTGATCTCTTGCCTTATCTAATCTGCGCAGCCTTATTTTTGATCTACACTGTTTAGAAAACGTAATATTTCTTATCGTACAGTCCGGACCTCGGTAATTAATGAAAATTATTGTGTTTTGAAGCATCGCAGTTTTGCTGGACGTAAAAATACGTGAACAATGCATATCAAACTATGATCATAAAATCACGAACAATCTGTTCCAGCAGGACATGAAAAACAAATTATATAAAGAATATTGGCCTTACCTGGCTTAAATTATTTTATTTTTTTTACATTCTTATTAATTCTTTATATTCCTCGAATCGATTACTGTGACTGATACAAATGAATCAGCGCGCCCTTATCAATACAAATTCATTGGTTATCAGAAATGACTGACAATGTCCTGCCTTTTTATTTCTATTTTTAGCGATGCTATCGTTTCTCAATTGCGGGCAGCCGTTTCGTAATCAGTTCTCTTTTTCTCCTCAGAGGAGGTAAGCTAGTGTTCAATTCATAAGGAGGGTCCGCGCGGGATTTCTTCTGGGAAAAACACGCGGCGGAGACACGAATAGGAGCACGCGATGAAGCACTCTCGGCGTGATCCGTCGGCGTCGGTGCTTAAAATAAACCAGAGCAATGGAGTGGTGCACTTTCGCCGCGATTAAACGTAATTGAACCGGCCTCATTGTTCCACTATGAATTCAGTTCAATAGCTCGGCTTCGAGTTCAAGGCTAATTCATAATTCATCGCTGGACCGCCCAACGATCTCTCTTTTTTTCTTATCTATTTACAATATGATTTTGCATCCGAACGATCGTCGAACTGTGCTAGTCGTTTTATGGGAAACGAGATGTGCATCTGATCGATGCATAAGGCTATCTGTTTCTCTAAATGAAATTGTGTAGGACACATCTTCTTATCAATGGAAAAGATTAACCTCTTAGAAGCGCTCTCTGAAAGGAATCGTCACGCGTTCCTTCATTCGTCCGTTTAATGAGATAATGGCGAGCTAAATATATCTCCCTTTGCGCGGGAAACTTTGCATAATAATAAATGTGCGTTACAATGGAATTGTTTTAATCTGAAATAAAGCCGTCACGTATTTCATTGTTTCGGCCGACGGAGCACCGGTACGATTTCGAAAATTAAATGGAATCCGACCTTTTCTGTCTCAAGACAAGTCTCGATTTGAAAAACCTTGTGAGAATGGAACTCGTTCAACGGCTAGCAATATCGGTCTTATCCAAGACAAATCTCTGTCCCGTTGAAAATCCTCCAGGACTGGAATCGTTCTGACTGGACGGTGATGACCACGGTTAAAAGCTCGAATATCGTAACTCGGAAACTCGACCCAGAGAAACGGAGAAAATTCTTCTGAAAAAACTCCGTCGTTTCGCGCAACGCAGGGGTTGAAATTCCTATAACCGAAGGAGGAATTTCTTCTTCGGTTTTTTTTTTCGAAGCACGGAAGCGGTCCCGTCGTAACGTCACCGTAAAGGTCGATTTTACGAGCGCGATGAAAGCCGGCTCGTCGATATGCTATAAATTCGGCGGCGCATGTTGACGCTAGGCCAAAGTGGCCAATGATAACGGGTACGCGTTCCACGCTTACAGATCGGATTATAATCCAAGTACCTATAGGACGCGTGTTTAATTCGGGCAAATGGATCGTAACGCGTGGCACCGACGATAAGAATATTAACAGCGCCGTTTTTCACGCGACCGTGCGTCGTTCGTCATTTCCGCAAACCGATTATTCAACAAATGAAATTAATATGCAAACAGAACCGATGTTCCACATTCTATATTTTTATACGCTTTATTTCTCACATTTTCTTATTTGCCCAACGATGGGAAGAATTCAAATTTAATTATTAAAAGAAATTCCAATATTTCATACCGAATATTCGTACAAGCAATGAATAGGTTCGTATCGTGTATTATGGAATGTGACGTAAATCG